AGCAGTACAGAAGCACTCCACATAAAATTGCATTAGGATGAGGGAGAGGGAGGGAAGAAGAGAAAGAAGAGAGGAGAAAGGAGGTCATGCAACAAGAGAGGAGTCAGGAGGAGTTGGAACTTAAAGCTTGCGCCAGGTGAGAGCCTGTACTTCATGATCATCCAAACAAAACCTGACTGGAGCTAGAACTTTGAACTTTGCTAGAGAGAGCTTGCTATTCTGTGTAATTAGGAAACTTGGGATTCCTGAGGAAAAGATACTTCAGTTAAAAATGGTCATTCCTGCTTGTGTGTGCATTTTTAGCATAGGGAGATAGGCTCCCATTTATTTTGTGGCATCCAGGTTTGCAGAGAGAGAGATTTAACTGCAGGTTGTATTTAATTTATTAAAGAGGTAGCTTATCCCTTATTTTAGCTGCTGCAGGCATTATTTAAGAGTTCAATATTTAGTAGCGGTTTGGGGTTTCTGGGTTGTTAGGATGTTAGGCTTCTGAAATGCCTTGTCTGAATTTACTGTGAATATAGTAACTTGTGTGTTGTATGTTTTGTTGTGTGTAGTGTTTGTGTTATCATTGTAAATAAACATTTGCTAATCCAAGAGGGCTTGAATTTTTGCTCTTTCACCTAAACTGTGCCAGAGAATAAAGAATTCATGTACTGTCCTTCTAATTAAACCAACAGCTTATGTATTTTCTGGAGAAATAATTTACAAGTAGAGGGTTATGAATAATTATTTTACTTATTGACTTAACTACTTGGTCAATTTCTGAAATTCAACATTTTCATTACCTTCCATTTGTAACAATATGAAGCAATAAATCTCAGCACTTTAACCTGGGATTCACATAACCACATCTCTATATCACTGAGAACCACAAGAAAGGAAGGGACAGTATTTGTTTCAATATCCTCATATTTGTCACTTACTATTCTTCTCTAATCTAGCACATTATACTTTAACTTATATGTTATTTAATCATTAATATCTCTCAATAATTGCTATTAAGTGCACTCTCCCTGGGCTGTGTAACGTTCGACTTAATGGGTCTCATTATAAGTTTTTGCATATACAGTACAGTAAGAAGAGGTTACTGTAAATGTGTAAAGAGCAAGTGGTGCCAGCAGGTTACGCCCGTGCATGAATACTGCAGAGTTAGTAAAATATGTCACCAAATGGCTTTTTTTTCACTTGAATCTGGCTTTTCTATTGCATGTGTTTTAACCTCTGCATATTATCATGTACTTTTTTATTGACAATTTGAGCAGACCATAATAAAAACATGTCAGGAAAGTATGTAAGTGATATAATTATTTTTATTCTTAACTTATTATTTTATTTTATGTCTAATGTTACTGTCGTGCTGGGTAAGGAAATGAAGTTCTTTTACGTATTTGTTAAAAGTAAAAAATAAACTTTGGTGAGCATCTGTTCTGCTCTATTGCCCCTCCCTACTCACTCTCCAACACAACTGGGGATATAAAGGATCATTACAAAATTATGAATTTTTACCACACTGATATTAAGAAAAATGCATTCGTATTAGGTTATTTTAGCAGAACTGAGGTGCACACTGGCCCAAGAGGGTCTTCAATAAAGAACTAGGTGTGAATTAAAAATAAAAAAATTGCACCTTGGCCACATTCATCATGCACCCTCTGCAAAGTTCTCATTTGTGTGAATGAGAAAAATAACTTTCTGAACTTGCATCTGAGTTTCACCCTGCATACCTTTTTTTTTCATTGAACTCTTAAGTGAATGTACCATAGCTAAGTCTTTATTCCATGAATGAATCCTGTCATACTTAGAAAAAAATGTAAAAAATATGTATAAAACAGTTATTTGACAACCCAATAACAACCAATATTGGACATAAAATGTCCTATGTCCCTCTGTCAGTAAATATTGATGTTCAACTGGGAAAATATTTTTAAATTATTTTTTCCTTTTTTGAGCTACTGCAGAAGCATGCCTACTATTGATGAGTACTTCTTCATTTTTGCTCAACAAAATCAAGAATTCAGGCTTAAGAACATAAAAGCTTAAGTAGGGTTCAAAACGAAGCCATTTTGCCCACCTGGCTCATTGATAATATATTAGCTAATTGATTTTAAATTAGATCCCTTCTAATTCTACCTGTGCAGGACCAAGCCCTTTTAAACTTTCAGTATCTGTGACTGAACCAGGCCAATTGGAGAAAAGGGGTGGTACAGTCTAGAGCGGTTACTGACAACATGCAAACCTAGAGCTCAGTTACTGAAAACTGAATTTGACATTTCTTATGCTTCTACTTCATTAGATATTTCTTTGTCTGAAAGTCTTTAGGATATATTTCCTCTACAACTTGCTGTCTATGTTAGAGAGTGCTAAACTTCCAAAACACCTGAAGACAGCCTGCATGTTTGCATACCTTCAGCCATGGCTAATAAGATACAAGTAGCAATTAGCTGTGTTTCTGCTCTTAATTTATTGATCTTCATCATTTCAGCACTTTTTCAGAAGTTTGAAAAGGGCCCCACTATAAGCTCTACATGTGATTTTAGTCACGCTGCTGTGGCATGTGATACAGAGACGTGTTCTCTTGTTGGCAGGTAAGGATCAATGGTGTTTCCTAATAATTTATCATTTCATCTGTAATAATCATTTATCATTATTTTTTTAAATAATCATGCTCATTTGTTTTTGTTAGTAGTTTTTGAAAGTAGTTTTTTTAACTCATTAGTGCTTTCCTGTGTTAATCAAACAAAAAGCACTATTAGTTTTTTTATTACATACAATATTCAGGATTAATAGTAATTGTGTATAAATACTAATTAGAAAGCAAAACAAATAGATAGCGATTGTTAAAATATTATACATGATGGGTTAAAACATACATTATTTATAAGAAAATAAAAATGCCTTGAGGTTACATACTATACATTGCATTAGAGCTGATGCAAGTCTTTTTTTAGTGCTGTAGGGGTTTTGTGAATTTACTGTCACAATATTTAGTTGTAACAGTAAATTTTGCAACTTTACTTTGGCTATTAGGAATCATTTGTCAGAGAAACAAGAACTCTTCACAATGATTTACAACATATGGAATAATTTATTGATACATAAAAATAACGTGTACACAAAGCATTCAAAATATCAAACTAATAACAGAAAAGATACATAAGAAGGGATGCTATGTTAGTATACTATTGGTAACACTAACGTCCGCATCAGTCACATTAAAATGATGAACATTCAAGCACTCTTAAGTAACTACAGCTACTAAAATGAATTAAATTGATATTAATACTGTATGTGTTAATATAACAATTTTATTCTCGAGAGGGTTAATATTGAATTATAGTTATCTACGACCATGGATCTCCCAAACAAAAGGATGGGGAACATCTGATTGGGTTACTCACAGCACTGTCCAATCCGGGCTCTGCTGGTTCGGTGCCACTCATGTCCTAAGGCAGCTCAAGGTATCAGGGAGAGAGAGAAGCATCCTGCTGTAGCCTCAAACTGACAGTCAACTCAAATTAATTCTCTGGGTCAGTGCTGAGCTGAACTAGGGACAAAGGTCTATGCACAAGGTGGTTGTTGCTTAGTCTGTCACGATCGCTACTCCTCCTCTTAAGGGCGCTCCAGCCCTTCCTTGTTCTGCCCCATTACCTGCACCTGTTCCTTATTCCAGCCCCTCTTCAGTTCCCCCTTAAAAGCCAGACGCAGACGTCATTCGAGGCTCTTCATTGAATTCCGTATCGTGAGAGCCCAGGTCCTGCTGTGTCTGGCTCCGTTATGGTTTTAACTTTCTGTTCCTGATCTCCCCCCCGGCGGTTCCAACCCAGTTCACATTTTTTATCCCCCGGATGGATCAGCTGGCCATGGACTTATGCTTCTGTTTTGGTTTCCCATTTGGACTTCGTCTTGGATTGTTCGCCCCAGACTCACTTCCCCTGGACACCTGCACACCTAGGACACGCCCTCCTGTCTCCATACCCATCTCCTGCATGACTTTTTCCCCAGTGTTTCCTCACTAATCCGGATTATGTCGTCTGCATAGGGCCCAGAAAAAACTGTTTCTGACATAGTCAGAGCAAGTCACACAAAAAGGGGAGAAACTCGGTTTGCTCCCGGAATAGCGGCTGCTGTTGAATAATGCTCTATTCAGGCATGTTGATAAAAAGTCCAATCAATTTGCTCTGGTGATCAAGCACAGTGTATGAGCATGGTGGTACTGTAGCTAGCTGGTGGTAAGGTGATTGCCACAATCGTCATACCTCCTCTTAAGGGCGCTCCGACCCTTTCGTATTTTAGTTCATTACGTGCATCTGCCCCCTATTTAGTCTGCCATTATTTAAGCCTGGCGCTCTCGCTATTCCTGGCTCAGCACTGGGAGATGGAGGCCCGGAAGCCTGCTTACCAGTGGCTCCAGGAGAGACCCGATGGCATAGGCTTTACCACGGTGTCCTTACCATCTGAGTCCGGGGTTGGAGCGCCTGGCCTCATTACACTGGTTTTACTCCATTTACCTGTTCTGGATCCCGTTCCGGATTTTAACCTTGTTTGTCTCGCCTCGGATGGATCTCCCGGTTCCTGGACCCTGGATTGTGCCCAGGATTCCCCCTTGGACTGTTTGGACTTGTTTGCCATAGCCACACCCCCCAAGCACCGGATCACCGCCATCATGCCCCTCTGTCTATCAACCTGTCCTGATCCTCTACGTCTCTTCCCTGTTGTCCTTCTCCACTTACTTCCAGATTATACCGTCTGCATAGGGTCCTGAACTACGCTTCATGGGAGCCTGGACCTGCTCCCACTACAGTGATAAGGCTAGACCTTTACTTATGGGCTCACCCTCTGACTTAGTACTTTGGGAAAATGTTAAGTCCCAAAGCTCAGAAAACAAGTGCAGCAGGTCAGCCAAGAGAGGAGGATGGCCAAGTTAGTAGTGACGCACCGCTTTTTAACTGGGGAAAATATGTTGGTAATTGGTCAAGAAGCTACCAAGTAGAGTGGGTACCAATAACCTGGGGGTTCTGTGATTGATTGGTCATCTTGTTGGATGATTCACCACGCCCTTTTGCTTTTAGGATAATCTCCAGCTGTGTCAACTGTATGTCCCTCCACGCCTCAACAGTGGACATCCATCTTAAAGGAGTATTGATAATGGATCTGAACTGTTCTGGGAAAGATCATTATCCAAAAGATAGACTCATCTCCCTCACTTGCTCACACACAAAGACCACTAGGTCACCCGTAGCTAACCACAGAGAGGGGCCTCTTTCGCTACATTCCTGTGACAGGCTGTCTGGACCAGGAACACAAAGATTTTCAGAAATACTTCATATCACTTGAAATGGAAATCTAATAAGTAAATTGATTCTTAAAATGTAGAGAGCTTTAGGAAAATATATAACAAGAATGTAACTGCTGTGTTATGTG